AAAAATCTATTTCAGAAATGTTTATTGTGACACTGGCTAAATATTTCCTCTTGCTTGGTTAGGATAGAGCCAGCTTGATAGAAAAATCTGGAATTCTTTAGGGGCTTGCCGTCCTGGGCCAGCAACACCCACCTCACTTGGGAGCTTATGAGAGATGCCTCTCAGGCCCACCCCAGACCTGCTGAAGCAGAGTCTGCGTAGTAGTAAGATGCCCACGTGGCACATGTCAACATTAGAGTCCCAGACACAACTGATATAGGAAATCCTGTTCTGAATTCGATACATTGTGACATATTTTTCTGGTGTTGGATGTTGCAGCCAAATACCTGATTTGTTCACTGATTAATCAATTCCTCCAAATTAACCCAGATACACTTTGCTTTATGCAAACATGACGTATATACTTTTACCCTTGCAGAGATTGATAGAAAGAACAGGAAAATGGTTCCTGTCACATAATCTGAAGCTTCTGAACTGGGGAGCAGTTCATGCTAGAGTCTGTCACACCTCAGAATGCAGAGCCCAGTAGTAAAAGAGCCAACCCCCACCTGCTGCCTCACGTAGCTTCTCTTACCGAATCGTGGTTTGGCAGCATGCCAGCACCTCACTGCAGCTCAAGGGCATCACGTGTTATATGGACCCTGCTCCTCACTGCAGAAGACACAACAAGCACTCCTCCTGTCCTATAAGAGGGCAGAGTTGATTGGCTGGTCAAGGACAACTTCCTTGGGTAGAAGAGCGGTGGAGGGTACAGTTGGTTTTGTCATCCAGGTGGGAGCAAGAATACCCAGCAGGAGGGTGCCCTGGGTGGCGCCATGGGAATAGGCATTCTGCACTAAGCTCTGCTCCTCCAAACGACCCCTGGCTTCCCTCCCCTCTCCTCCAGGAACGTACCATCCATGTAGGCCAGGAAGCGACTACAGCAGCGGCCGCTCACTCTCACTGCAGGCGAGTGAGGTCTCTGCCTTTGCAGCCGGCTGCCCTTTCATCCCCAGCCCTGGCACACGAGCCTCAGCTCATTTGGCCACCCGACCCTGAGAACATTTCCGCATCCTCTTGAAGATGACTCTCCAGGGAAGCTTCCCTCTGGCCTCAAAACGATCTCTGTACCATTTCCCAGGAACGCCACCATAGCACCATACTGGGTTTCAGAGCAAGCCCACGTTCACCCCATCAGGATTTGAATTTTAAATATATCTTCCTCCAAAGTCTTGATCTTTTTTTTATTTTTTATTTTTTATTGTTAGTTTCAGGTGTACAGAACAATGCAATAGTTATCCTTTTCACCCTCACAAAGTAACAACCCCCCTTCCCCCATGTACTGCCCTCCCACCCCCGATATCGTGCTTATCTATTACAATTTCATTGATTCCATTCCCACTCTCTACTCCATGTCCCGTGACTATATGTATATATAATTATAGTTGACATACAATATAATTCAACATCAGCTTCAGAAATACAGTGTGGTGGTCAGGCCTCTACACCAACTATGAAGTGGTCTCCCCAACAGGACATGAGTCCATCTGGCCCCCTAAGAAATATTTACAACATTATTGTTTATATTCCTCAGACTGTCTTTTTCTATCCCTGAGGCCATATTGTAATTTCCAATTTGTATTGTCTCGTCCCTTCCCCTTCTCCTTCATCCCCACCCCCTCCCAACTAGCAACCCTCAGTTCTTCCTCTGTGTCTCTGAGACTATCTCCATCCACTTCTCCCATCCATTCAGTTCCTTAGAATCCATATATATAAGTGAGATCATATGCTATTTGTCTTTCTCTGACTGACTTATTTCACTTAGCATGATGTCCTCTAGTTCCATCCATATTGTTGCAAATGGTACTATTTCCTTCTTCTTTATAGCTGAGTAATACTCCATTGTGTAAATGTACCAAAATTTCTTAATCCAGTCATCTACCAATGGGCATTTTGGTTGTTTCCAAGTCTTAGCTATTGTGAATAATGCCGCAATGAACATGGGGGTACATATATTTTTTCGGATTAATGTCTTGGGATTTTTTGGATAAATACCTAAGAGTGGAATTGCTGGGTCATAAGGCAGTTCCATTTCCAGATTTTTGAGGTACCTCCATACTGATTTCCATAATGGCTGCACCAGTCTGCAGTCCCACCAGCAGTGCACCAGGGTTCCCTTTTTCCCACAGCCTCACCAGCATTTGTTTTTTGTTGATTTATTGATGATAGCCATTCTGACTGGGGTGAGGTGGTATCTCATTGTGGTTTTTATTTGTATTTCCCTAATGCTAGGTGATGTTGAACATTTTTTCATATCCTGTTGACTATCTGTATGTCCTCTTTGGAGAAATGTCTCTTCATATCCTCTGCTCATTTTTAAACTGGGTTGTTTGTTTTTTTGGTGTTGAGTTGCATGAGTATTTTATATATTTTAG